GGGCCGGGGGCGGCAGCGAGTGGGGGGATGGGAGCTCTCTCATGTCTCAGATACGTTGACCCCTTTGCTACAGCAGGGCCATAGGGGCCTGGGCTACCGGGCATGAAGTGTGTGCTTCATGTGGGACAGCTTCTCCCGCCCCCAGTAAGTGTTGCGGGCAATGCCCCAGCCTGGCACTAGGGGGTGCTGAGGGGCTGGGCCGGGAGGGCTCTGTAGGATGGTTTCAGGTGGGGGGGGTCCCAACGCCCCACCCTGGCACTAGGGGGTGCTGAGGGGCTGGGCCGGGAGGGCTCTGTAGGATGGTTTCAGGTGGGGGGGGTCCCAACGCCCCACCCTGGCACTAGGGGGTGCTGAGGGGCTGGGCCGGGAGGGCTCTGTAGGATGGTTTCAGGTGGGGGGGGTCCCAACGCCCCACCCTGGCACTAGGGGGTGCTGAGGGGCTGGGCCGGGAGGGCTCTGTAGGATGGTTTCAGGTGGGGGGGGTCCCAACGCCCCACCCTGGCACTAGGGGGTGCTGAGGGGCTGGGCCGGGAGGGCTCTGTAGGATGGTTTCAGGTGGGGGGGGTCCCAACGCCCCACCCTGGCACTAGGGGGTGCTGAGGGGCTGGGCCGGGAGGGCTCTGTGGGACGGTGTCAGGCGGGTGGATCCCAATGCCCCAGCTCAGCAGCAGGGGGCGCTGAGGGGCTGGGAACTAAGCCTATGGCTCTTTTGGGGACGCTCTCCTCTGGGGGGGCCGCGCTGACCCCAGGGCCCCAGTGGTAGCTCTTGGAGCTGCCGCATATTAAAGCTCTGTTCCTGCAAGCTCTGACCATCAACGTGTCCACGGGGCTGGTGACAAGAGGAGGAGGCCGCGGCACATATGCACACGCCGAGTGTGGCTCATTCCCTCCTCCTTCCAGTCCTTCTCCAGTCTGGCACCTTCTCACCCCGTGGCCGGGTATTAGCACAATCCCTGTTGGGTTGGAATAGAGTGTGCACGGTGGTTGTAGGCCGTTCTGTGCCTCAGTGTTCTTTGTTAATCTGTGGAACTCCTTGCCTGAGGAGGCTGTGAAGGGTAGGACTATAACAGGGTTTAAAAGAGAACTAGATAAATTCATGGTGGTTAAGTCCATTAATGGCGATTAGCCAGGATGGGTAAGGAATGGTGTCCCTAGCCTCTGTTTGTCAGAGGATGAAGATGGATGGCAGGAGAGATCGCTTGATCATTACCTGTTTGATTCACTCCCTCTGGGGCACCTGGCATTGGCTGCTGTCAGCAGACAGGAGACCAGGCTAGATGGACCTTTGGTCTGACCCAGTATGGCCGTGCTTATGTTCTTATGTCAGCCATGCTTTCTGAGAGCACGAAAGACCTTTCCCTTCCTAGTGGCAAAGAACCAGCCATTCCGTTGTGTCTAA